TCCCTTCTTTTCTTCTGTCAAAACATTTTTTTATGTCCTTGTATAAATTAACAACATGTATGAACACTTTCTTCTTCATTCATATAGAGCCTTACCACGTTAAAGATTCATTCTTCCCACCATATAGAGAATGAATATGATGAAAGGAAAAGATTACAAAGGGAAACTTGGAACAAGCACACGTTAAAAGAAAGAAGAATGTTTGAAAAATGAATATATTGCACTATTATTATGAATAACAAGAAATGCAGATATCCATTAATCCACTTAGATATTCATGAGGAGGTTAAAAGAAGTGCACCTTCAGCAGCAAGATTGGCTACCACTTTGACAACCTGAATCTGAACTTCTGTCTCTTCAGAAGTTAATAGCTGTAAAATCTTCTGAAGCCCAACTGAAATTGTTAAAATAAAGAACTTATGAATTTATCAATACATGTGAAATTGGAGCAGGAAGTGTAAAATCAATTTAATCATGCCTTAATGAAATAAATCAGATAGTTAAATTGATCGTGCCTTCTTCACATATCTTGGCAATTGTGGCCCTTTGACCAGAGAGCTTCTCCCTTAAGGGACTTGACTTCTGTAAACTCATTGTAGTCCCAAAGACCGAAGATCCTTTATCATGAGTTTCATTTATATGTGATTTCTTATCCTGCAAGAGATTGAGATGTAATACCGAAATACATTAAGAGTGAACATGATATGAGGCGTGCATAAATAGCTTACCTCTAAGTCATCATTTTCAGGTGCTACATTCTTTAGTTTGATCAGCTCATTTTCAATAGCCTTCCTCTGCTTCTCTTCAGATAGAAGCCTTTGCCTCGCAGCTTGAAGTTCTTCACTAATTTTTTCCTTTATTACCAAATTTCAGAAGCAAATATAAATAGCCATAGAGCTTTTAAATTTTAACCTATATATAAGATATTTGATACAGGAAATTGGCATGCAAACGCAATCCAGAAAAACTCCATTGGACAATTGCAGTATAAAAAATTAACCCAGTAATGTGTCAATCATACCTTCTCTTGAAATAGATCATCATAATTTGCTTTCACAGATTGAAGTTCATTTCTTGTTGATTGATGTAGCTCAGATATTTCTTTTATCATTTTCTTAAGTTCAACAGTCTCTTCCTGGACCTGCGTTTTATAGCAGATGGCAACAAGATGAGATAACAGAGTAACAGAAGTCAAGAAACATGCAAATCATCTTCTATAAATTAAAGTTATTAAGACTAAAAATAGAGGAAGAAAGGAAGGGTTTCTTTACGATTTTCCATATTAGGAAAATTAAACTAGTAGAACTGAAAATGAGTGAGCCTTAGCAGTGTATATAACAAAATAACCTCACACATAAATAATGTGACACCTTGCATCACTTCCTCTATATCATTGTATTATAACTTGTTCTCACAGAATGGTGTTGCATTTAGATTTCGTATGAAGAAAATTTGAGAAAGCAAGGCTTCCGCCTGAATTGCATTTTTCCTTTAGGAAGCCACACGAGGAAGAATTTCTTACCATAGACAACTTAAGGAAGAGGGGAAAGATTATTGTCAATGGTTTGTCCTATGTGTTTGCAAGGGAGCGAATCCCCCAAATCACTTTCTCATTCAGTGCTCTAAGGCTAAATATTGCGGTTTTCTGCTTTAGAAGACCTGGGTTCTGGTTGGAACTCTTAGGATCTTTGGACTTGTTCAGGCATTAAAGATAGTAAACATAGGAACAATAACTGCTTAAAGTTATTCCTGTGTTTATTTCATGGATCATTTACACAGAAATTAATGAGCATATTCTTTAAGGGATTTGCTTTTCTTTTGTTAGAATCAGAGATCATTGCTTCCAGCTAATATTGACATGGCACTCCATCCTTGATTATGTGGTTTTGGGAAATCTTATTAACTTTTTGATTCCTGAGTTTTAAATATCTTGTACATGGGTGGTACCCCTTTAGTACCTTTTGATACCATTTAATTCTTATCTAATATAATGTCAGCTGAATAATAACCTAGTAAAAAATGGCATTGAATACGCTGCAGGTGACATAAGCCTTGGATAGCACCACAAATCACCTGCACTGAGTTTTGATGATCACTTAAAAGCTTCTTTGTTTCCTTCAATTGTTGTTCTGCACCTCCAAATCTATCATGCTCGTTCTCTAACTGTTTAGTGAGCTCTTCTATTTTCTTCTCGTACATCAGCGCGGTGTCACTAAGCGCCTTCTGATATGTAGAGATTTTGATCTCTTGTTCCTACAGGCAATAAAAAACAGCATTTTACATTGTGGTTCTTGCTGAATCTTATGAAAAATGAGAAAAGAAACAGCTTCACTACATGACTTAGAGAGAAAAATTCTCAAAGAAAATTGCATTAAAAAACCTTCAACGACTTATGATTTGAACTCATAACACAGATCAATATGGTGTATTATACCGAAACTAAAAATCCTCAACAGTTAGAAACAAAAATAACTGATACCAAAGCTAAATCAGCATATATGTTACTAACTTGAATTGACTTTTGATAATCATGTAGGAGCTTCTTCATCTCATCCAGTTGTTCCTGAGCACTTTCAAATATCGCCTGGTCGTCTTCTTGTTGCTTAATTAACTCGACCATCTTCTTCTCATACATTTGAGTGGTATCAGCCAATACTTTTTGATAAGTAGAATTTTCAAGCTGGTGCTGCTAGTAACAAAGAAAAACATAAGCAAAAAAATGTTCAGTAATGAGTCTCAGAACCAACATTCATAAGGAGACAGTTCTTAGCTTGGTGATAGCGGTTATTTGTCATGTTCTGTTGTAAGCATAGAAATGCCTACAATCAAGAAGAATGTATCCAGCGAAAAACTCAGAGTTCTCGAGCACTTTTTAGTCTTGAAGATGTTTCTTGGGTTTCATATAACAAGAATAAGTTTTGTTAGTCAAGAGAGGACAGACGGAGAGAAACAAACCAGAAGCATTCTGGTGATTCCCGATTGATTTGCTCTAGAATGTCCTATAACCAGATTTAGGTTACAAAAGCATACCACATAATTAATTACTTAAATCAGCTGCCATGCAGGAAGACTATCATGCAAGAAGAAAGTGCCTATAGCATCTGTTAAACTGCAGAAAAGATGGCTACATAATAGTTCAAAGGATGAAATGTTAAGGTCACGATTAAAAAATAACTCAGAGTCAAAGTACCATGCTATGTTCCAGACTCATTTCTAATTGAGTAATCTTATCATGCGCCAGCTTGTTATGATCCTTTTGAAGGTTCAACTCCTTTAAGATATCTTTCATCTCCAGTTCCAGGTGAGCATTTTCCTTCTGTAGAACCTGCAAGCAGTAAAAGGTACAAGGAACAGCATATTACTCAAACAGTAAGTCGTATTGAACACTAATATAACTATAGATGAGTTCAACAACGGGTAATTGAATCAAAGTAAGTATTTTGCCCACCATGAGCTTGGGTATGTGAATCCTTCAGCTACTTTTGAATCAAATATCAAGTCTTTAAATAAGAATATGCTAGAAATTAGATAAAGATATAAAGACAGTATTCTAATTCTATGTCAGTCGTGCTTAACTCCAACTAAATTAAGAGTGTTGCCTTGACAAGTAAGAATTTAAATGTATCATTCTAGGATTTTAATATAAAGCTGATACGAGCAGAGTTAGTTCAATTGTTTGTCAAACATAAAGATTGATTACATTGATTTGAGATTAAAATAGTAGGTTCTACTTAATCAGATTCACTTACCCACACAATTCTTTTAACCAATTAACATTGTCCTGGTTGTTAAAAAATGAGTGTTTCATTAGTTACTGTGACATTACACGAGCAGGGAGACATAACTACCTCACATCTTGTGACCAGATCCTTTTCAGCTTCAGCAAAAGAATTTTGATACTCAATCAGCTTCTTCTCCAAGTTATATTTTTCAATGTCTCTCAGCTTCTGTTGTCTGTCAATTTCTGCAGTAAGATGATCTACTTGAGTCTCAAGCTTCCGGCATAAACTTTCATAATCAAATTCCTCTTTAAGCTTTAGTATGTTTACTATTTTCATAGCCTGTAAAAGTAAGAAGATATTAGGATTATGTGGTCTAAAAGTTTGTCAAGAAAGATAAATAGCTACCATAAAAATCAAAGATGTATTAGTGATTGGCATGAAATAGCCATCTTCTAATTCAGGCCATAACATTGGTGCTCTTATGTACACCGAAAAAGAGAATAATAAAAGGAAAAATCCATTATTTTTTAATAGAAAAAGAAATTTTATTAAGAAAATTGGAAAACAGCACAAAGAGGAGAATAAGACATCCTCCAAAACAAAAAGAGAAAACATTAACAGAACATTAAATGATAAAATACATGAGCAGTTAATATGAAAAAGCGATAGTCTTCCGATCCGGATGAAGATTGGAAATTACTATCTAAGAGAAGTATTTGTGTGCTTGCCATAAGGTTGCTAAGAAAATCATTCTCTCCCATAGTTCATGAGAAGATATGCATCTATCATCGAAGATTCTTCAGTTCTTCACAAGCCATAATGTCCATAGCCCAGCAAAAATGACTCCTCTCCACAATGTTTTTGCTTCCTTCCTTAACCCATTGCCCCTTATGTGTATGCACAGGAAGATCTCAACTGTAGGTGGAGTGAAACAATTTGAGCAATCTAGTCCACATCTTCCAGGAATAAATGGGAATGAGATTCACCTTTTCTAAAGCACATGACACGAGTATCTGGAGATAGAGCGCAGAAAATATGGCAGATTTGAAGCATCTCATTGGTATGAGTCTTTAATGTATAGCTATCCAAGTAAACACCTATACCTTTGATGAATTTTTCAAAACACCTTAGCACTGTCAGACTGGCTGAATGTTGGTTTTAATGAGATATTCAAATAAAGACTTGCATGTGTATATCCCAATGGTCCAAAGATGAGGTTCTAGTGTCCAGCTGGGAAGATAGGTGAACTAGGCCCCTTAATCCCAACAGATTTTGCAATTGAAGAGTCTCTTTACCTAAAAGGTTATGGGTGAAATGGAAGTTCCTAGCATTGATGGACATGAATTGTGAGACTAGGACATTGTGTCTAGATAAAAGGTTAGTAATTGAGAGGCTAAAGGTTGATCTCCCATCAAGGTGTCTTCCTAAAACATAATCCTAGGTCGATCTCCCAAATGCAATCTGGTTAGGGACAGAAATAAAAGAGTAGTTTGGGAGATGAATTTCCAAGGGCTGTGATGGAATATAGATTGTCATGTTACAATACCCCATCCATCTTTGTTGCTCTCATAGATAATATTTGTCACTCTGTCTATAATACTCCAGTCCCACATTAGGAAGATATGTGATTGTTGAGCTCCGTTAAGATCTCAAGTCACATATTACAAATAATTTGAATTTAAACTTTTGAAAACCAATGATTTGGATCTGAAAGTTTATTGGGTTATTGGTACTTGGATCCGAAGCATTACAAATGGTATTAAACTATGTGCTAGTTTGATGACTTTGACTGGTATGATATAAGACCTTGTAGACTCTCGAACTGTGATTTGTGATTGTGTGATATGTGGTCTTGATGAGAACATCAAGGATGTGAATGATGGAGATTATGATACTCCAATCCCAAATTGAAAAAAGATATGATTGTTAAACTCCATATAAGAGCTTAAATTATACACTATTAATAACTTGAGTTTAAATTTTTGAGAGTCAGTAACTTGGGTCCGATAAATTATTGGGTTAGTGGTGCTTGTGTTCAGAGTGTTACACTGTGCCACTGAGAATGATGGAGATTGCGATACTTCAATATCACATTAAAAAAATATGGAATTTTTGAATTTCATATAAGAGTTTAAGTTACACACTATCAATAACTTGAGTTTAAATTTTTGACAGCCAATAACTTGGGTCCGGTAAATTATTGAGTTTAAATTTTTTTAAGTCAGCTTGGGTCCGATAAATCATGTTAAACAGTAATGCACGTGTGACCAATTACATCCTTACTGCCATCCATCACTAAAGAAGATCTGCTTCAAAAATCAATGTGTCAAGTACTGCTCATTGTAGAACTGAATATCCAAGTATTTCAAACTGAAAATGTTTCAGCAGTTAAAATGCGAAGTACTTGGAAACAGTTACCTTTTTTGAATGTAAATTAGGGCGAGAGAGAGAGAGAGAGATTTGCCAATTATCAAGATATGAAATTGCATATTTTCCTAGGAAGGAGAAACCCAAAGAAACTAAGAAGAACTCATAGAACTCACCCGCTGCCCAAACATGATTGTGCTAGTGGTCTCTGCACGATGTCGTGCAGATGGCCCAATTGTTATTATTAGGGAGGTCCTTGCAGATCCTATTTGAGTAGAAGTAATAATCCTTATCAATTTCCAAAATCAAAAAGAAAAAAGAAGATAAAGTGAATAAGTACATGCAAACTGAGCAAAATCAGCGACAAATGTGCTTCACAAGTAGGAAAAATCATTATCTTCCTGCCCATAAGTGAGAAGTCTAACTAAACTAAAATTAACCAGGAAAAATAAGCAATTCATCCCAGAAGTAAGCTTATGAATGAATTGCATATTTCAATTTAACATCACATGAAGAGTCTAATTAAATTATAATTTATCAAGAAAAATAAGTAATTTACCAAAAACTGTATTTCTGAATAAATTGTGAATTTTTGTGCAGCATGATTTGCATCTAGAAAACCAGAAAACAATTATCTTTCTAAAAGCAAAGAATTTTTAGATGACCTCCAAAGGAGTCACGAAGAAGTCTTGTCAGCTTAGAATCCCTTATTGGTATATGAGGACTGTTTTCTGCCAATGCATTTATACATTTTCCAAGAGAAGTGAGTGAGAGATTAATGAATTTAGCCTCTTCAAGCAAGTGACCTTCACTACCTGCAATCCAAAAGAAGCATGATATAATAAATTCTAGTTTCAGTTTACAGAGAGAAAAATATGCATTCAGAACCAATTAGGCAATTACTAAAGTAAATCTTTAGGGAACAACAGCATCACTCAGTAAAGGATATAACAAAATGGCAGAAGGCAAGTTGATGATAAACTGAGGCACAAAGCGGAAAACCACTTGATAACTACTTTAGCTGGTGAAATGCTATGAGATGTAAGAAGTATTCAACAAACCAGATTTGTCTAATCTTTCAGATCCTGCAAGATCCACAATCAGCAGCTTGCTCTTTCTAACCATGGGTATACCTTTGTCTCCTGGTAAATCATTTTTTTCCATTTTACCTTGTCCATCTATCTTTTCATGGATAGATCGTCGAACATAAACCTTGTAAAATAAGATATTCATATAAATAGATTATTTATTTTAGAAATGTTCAAATAAGTAGATACTTTAAAGGAACATAATATGCTAAAAGATTCTCACCACAAGAATTGCGTGACTGCGGGATGATTCTGCATTTAACTTTGTATTAGCTGCATGCCTGTTTGACTCACCAACTTGCAGTAACTGCTCAAAGTGATCTAGATCTTGAACTTGAATTACAGCAGTGCCTGGCAATGAAACTTCCCCTGTCTTTGGGTCCTCATTGATAGGAATATTACTCTTTTCAGGTGCAAGAAGATCTTGTATTGATTCCATATATAACTGGAGCAACAATGGAAGCAAGAAATATAAATGGTAAACATACTTATAACCTAATAGATATACTTTTTCATATTATAGTGTTAGAATATCAAATGATAGAACAGGAATGTAAATGCAAACAAAACGTTAAGATGAGATTTTCACACCTTGGAAACAATCTCTTATTGGATATCTATCATTATACCCAGAATTTACTGTTATAAACCAGGAATATTTATTTTCCTTCTACAGTATCTTCTTTCATTATGATACAAATTCTTGATATTTGCCTTTATTTTTGTAACCATATACACGTTACTTTCTGTGGAAGAATGAATATTGTGTCTATCATTAAATGACGAGGCCCTATACATATATATATATATATATATTCTCATAATAATGAAAAGAAACCTTATTTTAAAAAAAAATTAATGAAAGAAAACCTACAATTATTTACACAAATAGGCATTTCGATCAATACACCATTTACCCTAATATTAAAATATACATTTTCCAAGACCCCTCCAAGCTTGTGTATATATATTGTTCATTCCCAACTTAGCAATGATTTTATGGAACCCTATATTACTTAAGCCCTTAGTTAATACATCTGCAAGTTGCAAGTTGGTAGATATGTAAGATGTACATTTAGGCCATTGTCTAATTTTATTTTGATAAAATGTTTACCAACTTCAATATATTTGATCATATCATATTGTATTGGATTTTGAAAGTTGATCACTGATTTGTTGTCACAATGGAGTCTCATAGGACGATCCCATTTAATCTTTAGGTCTTCCAAAATTCTTTTTTATCACAGCAGCACATATACTCCTTATCCATTGTCCCAGATTCTGACTCAGCACTAGACCTTACTATCATATTCTGCATTTTATTTCTCCATGTTACTAAATTTTCTCTAAGAAAGGTACAATAACCTATGGTGAATCTTCTGTCCACTACTAATCCTGTATAATCTATGTCAATGTAGTTTTTCAAGAAGTGATCTTTTGTTTCTCTTTAACATGATATTTTTTCCTAATAACCTCTTTAGGTAGTGTAGCACTAGGTATGGGCCTATAAGTGCACATCATATTTTTTCCTAGTGACCTCTTCAGGTAGTGTGCACATCTTTAAGTTGTGCATAAATTAACTTATAACACTTACTACATAGATAATATTTGATCTCGTGTGTGATAAATATATCAGTCTTCCAACCAACTAGTAGTTTATCTCTTCATTAACTTCTGTATATTTCCACACTTCCATGTATACGACATCTCCTCTACATAGTTGATTCTTCTACAAAATTAGTCATACTGTGAAAAATTTTTGTATTTTTGTCCTCTTCTTTAATCTGGTTCTCAACTTTTGTCTTCAGGAAATCTCCTCCATCTGAATCTTTTTTATTACCTTTTGCTCTAAGTATTCCCTATGCACCACATCTTCACCAAATAAACCATTTTTAGCTTCCAATTCATCAATTGTCACAATTTCCTAAAATAAGGGAATTGTGCTCATTCCCATCTTTTGCTCATTCTCTTTACTCCAATTTTTTTTTTTTTTTTTGAAATAAAAAAAGAGAAGATGTATTAATGTAGGTGCTAAAGGAGGACCACCCATTTACAAAAAATTTACATGTCAATTAATATATTTACAATAAAATCAAAATCTTCAAAACATTCTAAATTATGCCTTAAAATAGTAGAGCTAAAATAATAAAACAATTTATCTTTGATGCCATTAAAATCTTGTTCAAGCCCTTCAAAAGCCCTGTTGTTTCTCTCTTCCCAACTAACCAAAAAAATGATAAGAGGGATTAATTTAAGCGCTTTGTTACTACTCAAACCTTCCTATGCCAGAAGTTCAGAATAAACAGAATCTGCCATTATTTAAGAGATCCCCAGAAATCCGAGTATCATGCTCCAGAGATTATGAGATGTTTGATATTTCAAGAGTAGATGATTACATGACTCAAGAGATCTCTTACATAAGAAACACCTGTTGACAGTAGTATGCCTTCTTTTCATTAAATTGTCAATTGTCAAGATTTTCTCTTTTACAGCTTCCCAGACAAAAAAAAAAAAACAATTCTTAGAGGGGCACCCGATGTCCAAATGATTTTTGAGGGGAAATGATATTTTCGTTAGGGTTATGACCGGATAGAAAAGAATAGAGAGAGCTGACACTGAAGAGACCATTCTTTTTAAATTTCCGATGCAGTTTATCGTTTTGATTTTGCAGTTATGTGTTTGCCAATAAGTGAAGTAAGAATTGATAATCTTCTAGTTTCCAATCTTAAAGGTTCCTCATCATTGGGACACTTCAGGAGGTAGGAATGACTGAACCAGCAATATCATTTACTGTGACAACTTTGTTTTAGCAATTCCATAGATAAAAGGATATTCATCTTTTAATTTTTTTGAGCCGCATCAAAAATCTTTCTAGAAACCGACCTCGAACCCATTATCAATATTCCATTTTTATCACTGAAATATCACATTATTTAGTGTGATGATGTTCTTCCATAAACTGTAACCATAGTTGTTTTTAATATAAAAGAGATTTTGTGGATTGCCATTATACCATTTTGAGTCTATTACCATTTTCCAGAAAATGTCATTTTCATTCTAATATCTCCAAATCCATTTACTAAGAAGTGCTTTGTTTAATTTAACTATTGATCTTAGTCCCAAGCTCCTTTCTTTTAAGGGTTTTTTTATCTCCAACCAAGTCACTAAGTGTTATTTCTTACAATTTTCACTATCATCCCAAAGAAAGTTACATTGGATCTGCTCTACTTTTTTTGACACCTTATTTGGTATGTTAAGCTCCGATAAAAAGTAAATCGGGAGATTAGAGAGTGTACTTTTAATTAAGGTCAATCTACCTCCTTTTGATAAAAAATTTTTCTTCCAGATGGATAATCTATTTATTGAACAAATCGATCACAGGTTCCCAACAATTATTGTCATTGTGCTTGGCTTTACTCCAACTTTTGATCACTTCGTTCAATATCTTTAACTTCCGTGCTAATTTAGAACTGACATTTCCACTCACTCTATCATTCTTCCACCATTCTTCGACTTTTTCACAAAATCCATTCACTTTTAAGTCAATTATCTTCGAAGTTGAAAGAACATGGAGCCCATCTGATCCCATCAAACTCAAGACTTACGGGAAAATGATAAGACATTACTCTTGGTAGTAGCATTTGACAAATCCCTAAAATTTGCAATTGGTAAGAGGTTGACACCAAAAATCTATCAATACGAGCACATGCTGGGTTGGTCTTCTGAGTCAACCACGTCCACATACATCCTAGTAGGGGTAAGTTAGTCAGGTCCATTTTGTCTAAGCTTCTTGCTAATGCCAAATCATGAACTAGAATCATTCAGACGATGTTCTATGGAAATATAAACTTCTTGCTTAAAAGTATCATATATTACCTAATATATTCGATGAAAACACTATGATTATTTTGTTCACTCAAAGCCAAACTTTTACAAGTTTAACTTGTCCCATTATATTATTTTCTTTATAGAAAATATTATTAGATAGAAAAGGAAGAGTGCATCAAGGAATAGTTTGTCCTTTAGAAAGAGAGAGAAAGAAGAGAAAGACTAGTCATCCCATTATATTATATACTAGCTTCAGAACTTAGAAGCAATTCTTTATCATTGAAAAATGGCTCCAACTATTATCCGACCAAAAAGTCAACAATTTAAGTAGAGAAAAAAATGGACAGTACCCACTGAAAGATGAAGTACCACTGCAAATATAAACAACATTGAAGTACCTGTAAATATGACATTTCCACAATTTCAGATATGGAAGATGTATTTGCCATTATATCCTCCATTGCTCTGACCATAATACCACGCTCAGCTGCATCATCTTTACCCAGTCTTCCAACCGTGTATGTTTTGCCAGTACCCGTTTGACCATAAGCCATAACTGTCCCATTATATCCATTCAATACACCCTGCAAAATTATGTGAAGTTGATCATACATGATAAACATGAAGCCCAAACGTAGTTATGATTAGTTTCTAAAAATAAATGGAATATGACTTTGAATTTATCAACTAATAACCAGGATGCTCTTACAAATCTATACAGGCAAAACACTAAAACTAACATAAAAGGAGCACCTCAGCCAGATTGAAGGGGCATTTAGAAATGATTATCTGATCCACTAAAGGCTTTAAGACAGGAAACAGTACCCCATATATTAGTTACTTACCTCAACTACAGGTTTAGCCACCGCTTCATAAACACGCTTTTGAGAAGCAGTTTCTGTAAAAACTTCATCAAATTTGTATGATTCAGAGCTCCAGTTGTTTTTTCTCAACTTCAAACGCTTTAGCTGCAAGGGAAAAAAGCATGGTTTAGATAAATATAATGGATTTGGTAGTTGCTGTTTTCATGAGGAAACATGCTTCAGCTGTATGGGGAAAGGGTAGTGGTTAGATAAATCCAATGGGTTTGGTGGCCGTGCACACACATAAAAAATCTATAAACAAACGATCATTTGGAATCAAACATGGTAATTTTCATTATCATGGGAAAACGACATAAGTTGTGAAAAGAACAAGTCACCTCTGGCTGCAATTCAACACAATCAGCAAAATCAGCATCTGAAATGAGATCCTCTGAATTCTTTGGTCGAAGTCTAACAGCAACCCTTACTCTTACAGGATCTGCAAGTAAAACATTAAGTGAAGATACTTCAGTCAAACTTTGGCCATTAATGATTATAGTAAGTAGCAGGGTTGGCATTTCTAACACAATAAATCTTTGAAATCCTTTGCATGAAAATCATCGCAAAAATTGCAGAAGCAACAGATTAACTTGATTTAATGCTGACCTACACTAAGAGCATAAAGTCCAACTATATTTTGGTTAAACCTGATACATCATCCCGCTCAAACTGCAGCCCGGTAGATGGTCACTGTAAATAGTGTCTTACCATGATCATTGAAGAGAGAGGGGGAAAGGACAATGTAGTGCATGAAGGATAAAAGAGAGGAGAATAGCTATGGTAGTTACCTTATCAGTACGATCATTTATGGTGTCAACAAAAGTGACAGTGCAGGTGGAGGAATATAGCATATCTAGAAAGCATAATAACATTTTTTTAATAAAAAAAAATTATAGTTCCTGACATAAGTACACTATAATGGAATCCTTAGTAACTACCAAATCATATATATATATATATATATATATGCTAAATAAGGCTGTCTATATTCACAATCAGATATCATAAAATAAACTATGTATGTCAATTCAAATATAGTCCTAACAATCATTAGAGAGTACAGCAGGAATGTGACTGGATGCTTTGATTTGGATATATAATCCTAACATCTAATCTACGAAGCTCTGTTCATGAACAAGATTAATAACTAATAGCAATCAAAATTACATGAAAGTAACTCAAAAACAAACATAAGAATCCAATCCTCAAATGTCCAGATCGCATCAGCAATTCAGGAAATGTGTACCAGTAGGGGAAAAAAGATCCATATATAATTGTTTAAATAAGGAAGCTGTACTCATTAATCTCATCCACTAACCATAGAAAAAAGAAGGAAACTGCATAATGCAAACAAAAAGGAATGTAGCGAAAAAACAAAACCGGAAATTTAAAACCAAAGATCAACAGATAAAACAAACTTCATATTCCTTTCTTTTTTGTTTTCTGGAGCGAGTAAACACGGATAGAGGCATACGTGAGGATATATATAAAAACATACATATGCATAAAGCACGGAGACACACATTCATTAAGCTAGAGAAAGAGAGAGACCGTTGTCATCCTGAGTGGAGAAAGAGCGAGAATTAGGAGTGACAGAGCGCCTGGAAAAAGAAGAGGAAGGTCTGTCCTTGGAGCGAACTCCATAATTGACACTTTTGGATGGTAAATTCAAAGAGGAAGAAAAAGAGCCTTGACTAAGAGGCGGAATGTGCTGCTGTAGCACTCTCTCTGCTCTGTGAGTTCCCGTTGATGATCTCACCCCGCCGGAAGCCGAAGATGCCATCGTCAAACATAGCCAATCGAATCCCCCGAACAGAAGGAGAGAGAAACAAAGAGATTTGAAAATTTAAAGGAACATTCACTGATTGTTTGGTTAGCAACCTCTCGCGAGAGGGAGAGAGAGAGAGAGAGATTGAGGCCGGCACGATGAAGAAAGAGAAAGAGAAGAATGTAGAAAATAGAAGAGGAAATGGTTCCCGCGTCTGAGAGTTGTGTGGGTAAACGTTAAAGGACGGCTAATCTCTGAGACAAACAGTACACAAGTCATTCTCTCACTTTCTTGTTTTTTGAAATAAAAGTTTAAAATAATAATTTATTCCACTAGTATTAAATTTTGTTCTTAGTTCATATTTTATTTTTTAATTAAATTAATTTTTTTACTGTTAAAATATGTATAAATAAATGTTACGTTAAATATCATATAATATTTGATATAATATTTAAAAAAATAAATATAGATAAATCAAATTAATTTATAAATTAAAAAAAATTAATCAGCAATTAAATAAAAATTAAAAAAAAAAATTCTCTAAATTATAGAATAAGAAGATAAAAATTAACGAATATCATATACCATTAGAATCACGAAAATTAAAAGATTTCTGCACAAATTTCCTCACACGAGATGCTTTTAATGTAACAAGGTTTTTACGAGTTTGTCTTTTTTTTTTGTAGTTTCAGACTTTAGTGCTATTTTACGACAATACTATGAACACCTTTGCCTTCTAAAATCAATAGGATCACTTCCTTCGTAATTTTATACTACAACAACACTTAGTAATAATATTAAGATAGAGTTGGACAGTTTCACTATAAACCTATACAACACGAAAAAACTCGTTATTTATAAATTTAGTCTAAATTCATAATAGTTTAAAAATATTGTATTATATCGATATGGGTTTGATTACAGTAAATCTCCCGCAAGATTTATTACGCTGTCGTATTTAATTGTATTTTATTTTTTGTCGTATTATACATCAATTTAGATAACAATTAATTATTTTAAACGCATAAATAACTTAAAATGATTGTTTGGTTTCAAAATTTTGCAAGAAAATTATAAAACAAACAATTAAAAGTAAAACATTTGTTGTAAACATGATGAATTTCATTTTTTGTTTTTCTTTTAACACTTTGTAATTTTGACATACATGATTCAATAATTGAAGAACTCTATAATAAAATAAATGGAATTACTTATCCATTCATAATAAAACATTCCTTCATACATATATACATACATATATTTGTAAGTATTTGATTTCTTTAAGTTGTTGCATGTGATTGTGTGACACCATGAGGTCCACACCCTGCAAAATGTCTTTTAAAAAAATATATCAATCGAACAAAATTTAATAATTAATAAATTGGGGTTTTTCTATATTTAAAATCAATTAAATATATGCAATTATTATAGGAGATGACCATGTCTCTTTTTTTCACTATTATAAAATTCTATATTTTAATAATTAAATATACATATATGCATACAAAATAAAATACAATCATTAATACTACGATTTTTTAAAGACAATACATAAAAAATATAATTTTACTCGAATTCATAAAAAAAAAAATTATTTAATTAATTAATAATTAATATTATTAAAAAAATTAATTATAATTATAATTTAATATTAAACTTAACAAT